TCCTCCTGGATAATTCCTCCTGGGTGAATTCCTCCTGCCAGCCCAGGAGAATTTCCCCGTCTCTGGGCCCTGCATTCCCCTCCTGGGCAGCACCAGAAATCCCTCCAGGTGCCTTTTCCCTTCCCTGCTTTGGGCTGGCAGGGGCAGCGGGGCTGTGGCCACACGGGGCTGGGGCACAGCCCCAGTCCAGCACTGCCACAGCCCCAATTCAAGCTTTTTTCCACCCAAGAAACTTGGGACAGCTGAGAGCAGAGGGAGGAGAGGCACTGAAATCCTGAGAGGCTCCTCCCTCTGCAAATCCCCTGAGAAAAACGGATAAAAATGGAATTTTTCCTTTGTACAGCACCCATTGAAGAGTTCTCCCCTCTGTCCTGGACCTCACGGAGGCTCAATCCTTTCCCATAAATCTGAAAAACATCCTTTATGGCCTCACAGCTGCAAGGAGAACCTTTAGCTGGGAAATGAAAATGAACGAGCAGCAAAAGCTCTCCCTGATCTGCTGAGGTTCCAGGAGTGCGTCTGAAGTAGTGAATTAAAGCTGATGCACTGATTTTTTTTTTCCTTTTTTTCTTTTTTTCCCCAAGTCCTGCTGGACGCAACCCAAGCAGAGAACCGACGGTGATTTGTCGATCAAGGGGCTGAAAAAAAAGGGAAATAAGCAGCGGTGGCTCGTACCCATCGTGGCCAAAAGGCTCCATCTGGTGGCGTTTGCACCCAAAAAGCAGCTGGGGAGGCGAGGGGGAGCCTGAACCGTGCTGGTTAAACTGGTCCAGAGCAGAGCCAGGGCTTAAACTCCACTTTAAACTCGAGCTTAAACTCCTCCCGAGCTGGGAGAAGAGGGGGCACGATGGGAACGGGAATTTTGGGTGGAGAAACGAACCTGCAAGGGGACAAAGCAGCCAGGGGGGCTCAGGTGAGCCAGGAGGGGCCACAAAACCTGAATTGTGGCCACAAAGCCTGAATTGTGGCCATAAAACCTGAATTGTGGCCACAAAACCTGAGTTATGGCCACAAAACCTGGTCTGTGGCCACAAAACCTGAATTGTGGCCTCAAAACCTGAATTTTGGCCATAAAACCTGAATTGTGGCCACAAGACCTGGGCTGTGGCCACAAAACCTGAATTGTGGCCACAAAACCTGAATTATGGCCACAAAACCTGAGTTGTGGCCACAAAACCTGAATTGTGGCCACAAGACCTGAGTTATGGCCACAAAACCTGAGTTATGGCCACAAAACCTGAGTTATGGCCACAAAACCTGGTCTGTGGCCACAAAACCTGGTCTGTGGCCACAAATCCTGAATTATGGGCACAAAACCTGAGCTGTGGCCAAGTTGTGCTGCCCTGCATGGGGCAAGCACAGCCGAGCAGGAGTGGGAATAATACAGCAAATATNGGAGCTGGGACAGACCCTGCATCCAGCAGGGAGAGGGTGGGATCCAAACCCGCCCTCAAATCGGCTCAATCCGGGTAAAAACCAGGCTCAAAAGGTGTCAAAAGAGGCTCAGGAGGAGGAAAAATCGACTCGAGAGGAGGAAATGAAACTCCTTTGGGATCTCACCCCTTTTCCATGCACTACCCTAACCTCTGGGATGAATTCCTCCTGGATAAATTCTCCTGGAGGAATCCTCCTGGGTGAATTCCTCCTGGATTAATCCTCCTGGATAAATTCTCCTGGATTAATCCAGGATGATTCCTCGTGGATGAATCCTCCTGGAAGAATCCTTCTGGATTAATCCTCCTGGATGAATCCTCCTGGATTAATCCTGGATAATTCCTCCTGGATGAATCTCCCTAGATGAATCCCCCTGGGTGAATCCTTCTGGATTAATCCTCCTGGATCATTCCTCCTGGATGAATTCCCCTGGATAATTCCTCCTGGATAATTCCTCCTGGGTGAATTCCTCCTGGATTAATCCTCCTGGATGAATTCCTCCTGGATTAATCCTGGATGATTCCTCATGGATGAATCCTCCTGGAAGAATCCTCCTGGATAATTCCTCCTGGGTGAATTCCTCCTGGATTAATCCTCCTGGATAATTCCCCTGGATAATTCCTCCTGGATAATTCCTCCTGGATAATTCCTCCTGGGTGAATTCCTCCTGCCAGCCCAGGAGAATTTCCCCGTCTCTGGGCCCTGCATTCCCCTCCTGGGCAGCACCAGAAATCCCTCCAGGTGCCTTTTCCCTTCCCTGCTTTGGGCTGGCAGGGGCAGCGGGGCTGTGGCCACACGGGGCTGGGGCACAGCCCCAGTCCAGCACTGCCACAGCCCCAATTCAAGCTTTTTTCCACCCAAGAAACTTGGGACAGCTGAGAGCAGAGGGAGGAGAGGCACTGAAATCCTGAGAGGCTCCTCCCTCTGCAAATCCCCTGAGAAAAACGGATAAAAATGGAATTTTTCCTTTGTACAGCACCCATTGAAGAGTTCTCCCCTCTGTCCTGGACCTCACGGAGGCTCAATCCTTTCCCATAAATCTGAAAAACATCCTTTATGGCCTCACAGCTGCAAGGAGAACCTTTAGCTGGGAAATGAAAATGAACGAGCAGCAAAAGCTCTCCCTGATCTGCTGAGGTTCCAGGAGTGCGTCTGAAGTAGTGAATTAAAGCTGATGCACTGATTTTTTTTTTCCTTTTTTTCTTTTTTTCCCCAAGTCCTGCTGGACGCAACCCAAGCAGAGAACCGACGGTGATTTGTCGATCAAGGGGCTGAAAAAAAAGGGAAATAAGCAGCGGTGGCTCGTACCCATCGTGGCCAAAAGGCTCCATCTGGTGGCGTTTGCACCCAAAAAGCAGCTGGGGAGGCGAGGGGGAGCCTGAACCGTGCTGGTTAAACTGGTCCAGAGCAGAGCCAGGGCTTAAACTCCACTTTAAACTCGAGCTTAAACTCCTCCCGAGCTGGGAGAAGAGGGGGCACGATGGGAACGGGAATTTTGGGTGGAGAAACGAACCTGCAAGGGGACAAAGCAGCCAGGGGGGCTCAGGTGAGCCAGGAGGGGCCACAAAGCCTGAATTGTGGCCTCAAATCCTGAATTTTGGCCATAAAACCTGAATTGTGGCCACAAAACTGAGTTGTGGTCACAAAAACCTGAATTGTGGCCTTAAAACCTGAATTGTGGCCACAAAACTGAGTTGTGGCCACAAAAACTGAGTTGTGGCCACAAGACCTGGGCTGTGCTCACAAAACCTGAATTATGGCCTCAAAACCTAAATTATGGGCACAAATCCTGAATTATGGCCTCAAAACCTGAGTTGTGGCCACAAAACTGAGCTGTGGCCACAAAACCTGAATTGTGGCCACAAATCCTGAATTATGGGCACAAAACCTGAATTGTGGCCACAAATCCTGAATTATGGGCACAAAACTGAGCTGTGGCCACAAATCCTGAATTATGGGCACAAAACCTGAGCTGTGGCCAAGTTGTGCTGCCCTGCATGGGGCAAGCACAGCCGAGCAGGAGTGGGAATAATACAGCAAATATGTTAATGCTTTTTCTCTTAGGTACAGCCCAGAACAATCCCATCAGGGAAAAGGGATCCTGCAGGGACAGCCAGGAGGAAAATGACAAGCTCAGACGTGAAAACAGGCCGAAAAGTTGGTGATTCTGTTAAAAAAGAAGCAGGGACAGGAGAAATGGGAGTTTTAAAAAATCCAGGCTGGTCCTGCTAAGCCTGGGCAGCTGCAGGGGGAGAAAAGGGAGGGAATCTTCACCTGCAGCTTGGGCAGGACAGGGAACAGCCAGCTTGGATTTGCAAAAACCAGGAAGGTTTGGGATGGGAGAGAGGAGCTTGCTCCCCTCCTCACCCTAAAATCACTCAGCAGGACCAGGACAAGCCCCTGCCCAGCGCAGCCTGGTCCTGCACGGAGCTGCCCCAGGGCTGGGCTGCAGCTCCAGCGCCTCCCAGTAAGAGCCAGGGAGCCCAACTGGGGCAGGAGGGGAGCAGGGCCCCTGCCTGTCCCGAAGCCTGCAGCTTTTAGTGATGGGAGAGCTGCTGGTGCCCCCGGGAGCTGCAGGGCTCCAGGCAGGAGGGGTTCCATGGAAAAGGGTGGGGATGTCCATGGGAAGGCTGGGAAAGGATCAAGGGCTGGGAAAGGATCAAGTGCTGGGAAAGGATCAAGTGCTGGGAAAGGATCAAGAGTTGGGAAAGGCTCAAGTGCTGGGAAAGGCTCAAGGGCTGGGAAAGGATCAAGGGCTGGGAAAGGATCAAGTGCTGGGAAAGGATCAAGTGCTGGGAAAGGATCAAGTGCTGGGCTCAGGAGCAACGGGAGGTGGAGCAGCCCCACTGGGTTTGTCCCTGCTGGGGTTTCCAACAGCTGGAGCAGCCTGGGATTACCCTGGGATCACCCTGGGATTGCCCTGGGATCGCCCTGGGATCGCCCTGGGATTGCCCTGGGATCACCCTGGAGCAGCCAGGGCTGGGATCACCCTGGGATCACCTTGGGGTCACCCTGGGATCACCCTGGGATCACCCTGGGATCACCCTGGGATCAGCCTCAGCCTCAGCTGGAGCTGTCAGCGATGGGGAGGGGGCTCTGCTCCCACCCCAGGGGCGCAGGACACAGGCATTGTCACACGCAGCCACTGTGTGCCACACTGTCATTGTCACACGCAGCCACTGTGTGCCACACTGTCATTGTCACACGCAGCCGCTGGGGCACTGTCACACCCCTCTGCTCCTCCAGAGGAACCGGGGAGGGGGTCAGGGATGTCCCCTCCCAGAGATGGCCCATCCCAGAGACACTCCATCCCAACGTGTCCCCTCCCAGAGATGTCCCCTCCCAGAGATGTCCCCTCCTCAGCAGCTTTTTGAGGCATCAAACCCAACGAAGCAGAGCCCCCCCTTGTCCCCAGTCCTCTCCTGGGGGTGCAGAGACCCCAGACCCCGCAGCAGAAGGCTCCCAGCCCCAGGCCATGCTCTCTCCTGGGGGTTCCTGGGGTTCCCCCGTGCCGGGGGTGTGGAGCAGAGGAGGGGGTGCCCGGTGCCCCCCAGCCCCGTGCCCCGTCAGGGGTTGAAGAAGCGTCGCAGCACCAGGTAGCCCAGCGCCACCACGGCTGCCACCAGCACATACTTCATGTAAACATTGTCCAGGGTCTTCACGGCCTCCTGCCAGGGAGGGGACACAGCGGGGTCAGTCCTCGACCCCCAAACTCTGACCCCCAGT